AACGAATTCAACTGCCTATCTGTGAATTCAATTTCTTCAGCAGCCTCAATCTACAGTCAATTTATTTATTTGGATGGCAATCACAACCAATTTTGAATTGTTGTTTGTGTTTCCCCTGATTGAATTTGCAATAAAAGACAATTGATCACTATATTTTTGTTTAACGGACATGTATTTTACAATTTAATATCATGGGATAATTTTTTTGGTTTTTATCTATTAACAACCACAACTACATTAAAATTTATAATACGAGGAATATAATTTACTAGACATGCATCCACACACTTTTTCAGAATGAACATGAAATATATGATTCTATGAAATCACACATAACAGTTGTTATGTCACTAAACGTGCATAATATCAACAATTATGAATTGTTTTCAGGAATAAATTTGGAAAATTTAAAAAGTTGTTAATAAATGTGCGAGAACAAATAGGACACGTTTCCCTTCAGCTTCATTACAATCACTTATTTAAGAATTCCTCTCTGTTGTAATGGTCTTGTCCTCAAACAACGACTCTTTGTTTATTTCGGAGTAGTTATGAAAAAAAAGGCATGCGACACAAGAGTGACTGAGACAAGACGAGTTATGGACATTGAACTACCACAATGGAAATGGCTCGTACATTTTAGAAACATAGATTTTATAAAACCAAAACATAACATGAAGAAAATGGCATAGTTTATGAAATTTGGCACCATTATGAAAAATTTAGTCTCTTCTTGTCCGAATGAAGCTTACCGTTAATTTAAGTTTTTAGAACATGTCCTTGATAAATTATTATCATGGCAAGATAATTTAAAGGCTTCAAAAATATCGTGCATTTTTAATTCATGTAAAACTAAAATTAAAAATTCACGCAAGTAAGATGTAAGTCGATGCGTCCCAAAATTATGAAGAATTAGTCTAGGTCTATGATTGTGTCAAAGGGGTCTTCATGATTTTGGAGTTGATGTTTTTGCTTCTAGAATAAAAACTACCTAACTCTGTTGCACTTCTCTGGTTAGGAGCATTTTTGATACTTTCGACTTTCTTTGGGTGTGCTGCAATTCCGTTGCTTAAAAACGTATAGCCATAGAAGTTGATACTTTTCTTGTTATACTCTCATTTCTCTTTATTCAGGGTTAAATTGCAATCTTGCAGTCGTTGTAAACAGCCCGCAAAGCTATGTCGTGTTCTTCTTTATCTTTCCATACACTATGATATCATCTGATATATTTTTTTATTTGGTATCCCACTCAGCACTGTTTGTATAGATTGTTGAAGCACTTCTGCGGCGCTTGATAACCAAACAAGACGCATTATATCGGTATAACCCTTTGTGCGTGGAGAAGGTTGTAATATATCTACTTTTTGAATCTAACTCCAGTTGGTGATAACCACTACGCAAATCAAGCTTAAAGAAAACACAACCACCTCTCATATCGTGAATAATTTAATCTAATGTAGGAGTTATGTGTCATACGCGTTGCACGGCCGTATTCGCTTTTCGCATGTCGACACAGATACGTACTTCTTCAGGGTTTTTGGTTTGGGAAATACGACTATAGGACTCACCCATGGTGTTGGGCCAGTTACTTTCTCAATTATGTCTTTTTCCTCTAATTCCTTTATTGCAATATCGAATTTTTTCCGTGTGTGAAATGGTATATGTCTGTGGCGTTGAGCAATAGGTGGAACTGTGTCATCAAGATCGATTTTTACTTGGTGCTCTTTAAGATTACCAATCCCATGAAATTTGTCTTCAAATTTCTTTAACACTTCTTGTTGCTTAGACTGACCCGTTGTTCGTTTTGTCTGGATTGTGTTGACATCAATAATCTTGATAAAATTTAATTTTCGTGCTGTATCATAGCTAAGAAGTGAGCCATTTGCTTTGTCCACAACATAAAACACGCCAACATCGCTTTTATTCTTTGATTTAACAGCAGCTTCATACTTCCTAGGATTTTAAGTGTCTTATTTGAGCCATACGCCTTTAACTTGATGTTTGGGTGTTCAAGTTTAATGATGGCATTTCTTGTAACAAGGTTCGATACGTTGTTTTGTCTATGATGTTTACGCTCGCACAAGAATCTATCAGCATTCTGACTTCAATTGCTCCAATTATTACGGTCGTTTTGGGCAATCCACTTCGGCTATCTTTGTCCACTTCGTTGATTACTTGGGACTGAACAATGAACGCATATTCTTCATCACTACTCGAGTCAAGGCTTATTGAACACATCTCATCTGATTGTGGTTTGATCACTTCATTCACTTGACGTTGTTTTAAGGCAATTTTACACTACTTTAGGGTTTCGCCACACGCTCTACATGTCTTTACTTTTGCAGGGCATAGATTATCTTTAGGATGGAGAAATTTTCCTCCAAAGTTAAAGCAATTTGTAGTTCTTTTGTTCATGTCATTGGCCATTCATCCTGCCTTAGGCACCGCTCTTCTTTGCTTTTGCTCGATCTGCTATTTGCTGAATTCCTGTGTTGCCAGGAGGATCCTTTTTTTCACAGGATTTAGACTTTATTGACTATTCTTTGATCTTGATCTATTCCCAAAGCATGTGTTTCAGATGTCTTCAGAGTCCTGCCAAGATTGAGTAGCACTTTAAGTGGTAGTTTAGGATTACGTAACGCCCTTCTGCGAAGCCGTGATGAGTTACTGTTCAGAATAATTTGTGATTTGGTTTCTGGGGAGGCATCGTCAAAGCTGCAAGTAGCTGCAAGCTGTTTTAATCGAGTGTAATACTGATATAACGTTTCATTAGCGTTTTGTTGATTACGACGAAATATATAGCGTTTGTATTAAATGTTTTGTTGTGGCTTGAAATGTTCTGTTGATTTAGCTTTTGCAGTGTCGTACTCCTTTGCTTCTCTTGTATTCTTAAGCGTGCGAAAGATTTGATAGATATCGTTTCCTTCAAAATGAAGTAACATAGCTCGCTTTCTTGTTGCGTCTTTGATGTCCATTGCTCCCATATAATTTTCAAAACAGTCTAGCCATTCGTTCCATCTACTAGCTACAGCTGTAGGATTTTCTCCGATCACAAACGGTGGAAAGACAGGCAATTATGATTGAGTCATTATCTACTTGTCTATCTTGTACATCTTTGTCGCCATTTATAGAAGATTTTTAGTATGTCCCCGCTTGATTTAAATAACTGTCCTTTTATTTTCAATTTCTTTGCTTTGTATACTCTATTATCACATAATCCTATTTTATTCATTTATGCTAATTATTATATAACTACTACACTGTGTTGCTAGTGTTACCCAAAAGCACTTGACCGAATCTGTTAATGCCAGCCAAACGTAAACAAACTAGGCAAGTCATGTATAAACCTCTCGTCAACAGTTCAGTGCGACTATTATGATCGATTAAGTCGGCAAGGCATGAGAATATTTTGGTTTGACCCTACAGCTACCGCATGTCAATTGTCAAGTGCTAGATTTATCTTGACTAAGTTTGTTGTCCTTAAATTTTGAGTTAACTTTTCTACTAACAAGTTGCTAGGATTCTGGCTAGTGTGTGGTAACAGAATGATATTTTGGCACGCTATTACTTTAGGACGGAGAAATATTCACTAAAACTCATAACCAAATGCTGAACAATACTGCATTTTTCAAGTGAAATTATCGCTTTGATATTGTCGCACTTTTTTGATATAACATTGTTTCTTGCCGTATAAAAGCTAAACTGTTACGATTGTAAAGTGTCAATGAAGGTATTTCACAACTTTCATAAATATGATTGTGCATTACGTGTAATGTTTTGGTATTTTGTAAGATGTTAACAATCAGGTTTGGACAAAAAAATTGTCAAGAGACTAAAAATCAACAAAGAAACTTCGTCAGGGCTAATTGTTTGTACAGGTTTACCTTCATACTTTGGTATTTTAAACTGATTATGATTTCATATTTAATTTATTTATTCACTTTATTTATTTCCACTTTATATTCATCAGATACCTGCAAGTTTTTCCCATCTATTTTTTCTTCTTTTGTCTTTAACTTCATTGTAACCATTGCATCCAATGTGACTCCTGGATCACCTCAAATTATACTAAGGGTGGATGGCTGTCAGATCAGGCATTACTATACTAAACTTTTTATGCACAAAGTAGTAAGCCTTTCTTGAATAAAATTTTTTAATGTAGAAGCAAATGTTGTCTCAGTATTGTCCAAAGCAGTTTTTTACTTTGGTTTCGATGGATCAACATGCATTATTTACTATTACAATGCATAGTTCATTTCTAAAAACACTAAGGGTCATTCAAAAACTAGAAACATCAAGCAAACCTTTACCCATATTTAATATCGTATTGTATGTAATCTAGAATACTTAACTTCTTTGATTGAAAAGTAAGGCGTTTTGTCTTTATTCTCTAAACATATCATCTCTGTTAAATTAAAGCATATATAATCATTAGCTTTATGTTTTTAAAACATATTTAATAGAATGAGTTTTCTGGCCTTTTTCCTTTTACGACTTCCATACGATTTTGCCACTTCGTTCGTTTGGAATGTCTGTATTTTGTTATATCCACCCGAATCGTTCAATATGTTATAAATAGTCATAACTAACACTTTAATATTCCGAAGTACTTGTAGTTTTATGTGTTCAGAGTACTTACGTCATTATAAACACATTGTCTTGTAATACAAAATGAAATATACTTTGAATAAACAGTTCATGTTCAACACAATACTTGAGAAGGAAACAAGACAACTTTTTTTGATTAGTTATGTTTTTAATTTGTTACAAATTTATCATCGAAACATAACTAATCAAGAAAAATTGTCTTGTTTCCTTCTCAAATATTGAGTTAAAGATGAACTTCTTATTCCGAGTATGCCTCACTTTCTATTACATTAAACTGAATTGCATTATATTTGTATATTATTAAAATTGATGCTCTTATTGATAACATTGACATGATGATTAACAACAAGATGAAATATTTTTTAAACAGATCTAACAGCCGTCGAAAATATCCATCAAAGATACGAAAAAGGGTGAAAAATGTCCAAACAAAGGTATTAGCACCATGTAAATGAATGCAAGTTCTACTGTCTTTCCGGTAAAAAACTATATTACCAGGGCCAGTAGCGTGGTGCTGCAATTTTGACTGCGGGGGCCAAAGCAAATTTCGCCCCCCCTTCACCTTTGAACTAATGAAATTTGCAGTACATGCCACAGTATTATTGAGTCTCGATACTTTATGTTAGCCTTTGCATTTTGATTACACTCTACCGATGACAGCGCTACCACTAGAAAATTAAAAATAGGTACGCGAATGGCGTAAATGACTAATATTTTATTACCTACATGAGAAATCACTAGAGAAGTCCGACGGTCATTTTTTGTAATGATAACCAAAATATTATAGATCATTTATCAACAAAATTGATAATTTTGTCTTCAATTACCACAAACTAAAAGTCCGTCTTATTAGTTATTAGCTCGCGCTCTATGGACGACTGACTTAAACGACTGAAACAAGTCGGACGTCTGTTTGAGAGACAGGCTTTAGTCAATGACTCCATAGATCTGCTAAGTAGGCTAGCCACTATAACAACCCACTATAACCTGTATGATATTTTGAGATGTTTATTTCAACTATCGCCTGTAAAATTTTTCAAATTTCTTTAATTTTATACTTTCAAATATTTTCCGTAAAGCATCATGGCCATGTAGTCGTGTCAATTCGGGAATTGCCGTCCTAGCATCTGGACATCTTGACATTTTTTAGTATAACATTGTGGTTCGCCTGTGAGCAGGCTACCCACAAAAATATTATTAAGCTGATTAATAATAAGATGCAATGCCAGTAACAATTCCTGTCTGTGGGAGAAAGCCAAGAAATTTGATTGAAATAGGCAAAAACTATACATTTTTAGGCCTTGTTGCGCCCCCTAAGAGGAAATTAAATTTTGCCCTGTATGTTCTCTACAGTCATTGTGACAATTGACAAGTCAGGAGTTGTGGCCACATAAGAAACATCAAGAATGCTCCTCAATTACTTTATTCCTTAATTGACTGTAAAACGACACCCCTTACAAGGTTTAATTTTATTCAGTCTTCCTTTTTCCCCAAAGTTAACTTCATTTACTGTATATTATGACTGTTGAAATAATTGTTCTGATTCAATTCATTTTTCTAGCTCAAATTTAAAACTTCGTGACTCATATTCATTTCTGTGCCCCCCAAAATATCAACAGCTGGGGGAGCCTTGGCCCCCCTGCCCCCCTGCCCCCCTGCCACCACGCCACTGCCAGGGGCGGATCTAGCATTTTTCAAACAGTCATGGAATGTCGGAGGTGTTCCTTACCTTAGGGGTTCCAGGTGAGGGCATGCTCCCCGGCAGAATTTTGAATTTCAAAGCCTAGGAAATACCATTTTCAGCGTTTTAGGAGCATTACAAAATGTTTTTTGTGGGCATCATTTTTGCGTAAAAAATATTTTGCTTACGTTTTTTTAAAAACTAACTGTGAAGTAAACAATAATTGAATGTTAAGCCAAATGTTAAGGCTCATTATCATGCCTAGGAACATAAAATTTGCTTTCAATAATGCTATTCTCATGTAATTATATGCTTTTAGTCATATAATTACATGAGATGACAAGTACACATTACACAAAATTCATGTCTGAAAATGTTAAAATTGGTGCATTTATCATGCTCAAGTGCAGCGGTGCTAATTTTTCTCACTACGCGTGCGGTGTTTATTGAAGGGCAGGGCTAGCTCGGGAGCGGCACATGTTATGCATTATAATTATACCGGGAGTTAATTGTGTTTTGAGCGAACGGGTCGTGTTTTTTATTTTTACTTTTTTCTAATCACGTTTTGAAAAGTCTATATATTTCCAAAGATCTTGTGCTTATTGCAAACAATGTTTGATAGTAAACGCTTTAATGATTGCAAGTGATCGAAAGTATTTTGTATTTTCTGTTTATGGACTGCATAGGTTGACATGTATCATATTTCACTAGATTTAAAAGTGTAAACAACACAAATAATATATGTATTTCACACAATATTTGAAATCGGCGTTTGATTAAACTACTCTAAGTAGGCCGTATTCTGTGGCCGATTATCGTCCAGTTTCGTTGCCCCCGATCGGGCACTACATTTTAACACGATAGATAAGTGGAATATATCATAGAAAGGGATAATTCACTTGTCTCCACCTTCAAAGACCCGCCGTTTTTGAGTATTTCACCATTGAAATTTCAATAAATTGATGTCTTTCGCAATCGACCAACGATATTTTGATGACGTAATTTCAGAGATACTTAATGTAGGATACGACATAAAATGCAGATGCTGCTTTACACTCATTTCAAAATGAAGTTTCCCGATAATCCACTGTTCTGGCAAGCTTTAATCAGGAAACTTTGGATGGCGGTTGACCGTGTATTGAGCAAGAATTTTAAAGTTTTGAAACTTGTCTCAAAAGAAAACATGCACTTAAACCCATGTGAGATGTTTTAGACTATTTCTGCTTTAGGAAGAATATTTTTTAGTGATAATCTGGAACGTGTTGTCTTCCATTTTACGGCAGCGCCTTCCCGAGTAAAGCGGACACTTGTGTTAGTTCTGAACACCATACATCTGAAATTTTTGGAGCCATTGATTTTTTTGTGTGTATTTAAACTGAAAAAGATGCTAAACTTGGAAGACAACACACTATGGAATGTTACCCTAAAAAAGAATTGTAGATTATATGCTATGCAAAAACCTTACAAAGAGCCAACTATAGTATGTTCTCGCGTTATGTCTTTTATGTACATAAAACACGAGAAAAACTCTTAATATTTAAGTATGGTACATGGATTAACAGTAAAATGTAAAATATTGACCCCTGATTTTTAATCAGCATTAAGTCAATATATTCGCATTGTAATTGACATGTAGTACTAAAATCATCATCATAGTCATTTCCAAGGTGGATTCAGGCAATTAATAGAGCAGCAAAATAGACCCATTTCAAATTAGCCCTTTTGCATGGTCGAGCATTCAGTCTTACACTTACACTCAGAATAAGTTTCAAAGTTTGAGGAGCGAGTTGGAGTGCCATCTAAGTTAAAACAATCTTCTATCATAAAACTTCCAATCGTGACCAATCGGTGAGAGGAGATCTATTTGTCCATATCGAAAATATGCTCTATTTATAAGTTGGACATGGCTATTTCATGTTTGAGGCATGAAAAGGGCATATCTTGAGTCATGAACGTTTGTTTGAATCTAGATGGTGAGTATAACTGTGAGACTGAACGCTCAACCATGTGTTTCCAAAAAGACTTGCTGAAAATGCACCTATTTGTGTTTTTGCTGCGATTGCCAGAATGCAGTGTTTGAAGTTGTTGATGATAAGAAGGAAAGTGGTATGACTCAAACCTGTCATGCGTGGTTCTAGCGTTTGGCACTCATTTCTAAGTATTATATTTCGAAGAAGTGGGCATGTTATGTTAAAAGTGATTGCACCTTAGTAATATTCTTCTCAGAGCCCCACTGCCTTAGTTTATACTAAATGGCTAGGAGTTTGGCCATATATGTTATATAGCTCAAAGTATGTTAAGTTTTGTAATACAGTATATTCAGTAAATTGATATTAGGTTGGTATTAATTTAAGGTGTTCAATCTGCTCCTGTTTTCTATATTTATAAAGGAGATAGCGCCTGAACAGACTATAGTTGGTTATTTCTAAGGTTTTACAAATCATATAATGTGAAATCAGAACAATTCTTTTTTTGAGTAACATTCCATTTCCATGACTATCCCGAGACTATCTTGCGTATATTACGACCATACAACATACATAGCTGCCCATGGTTACATCATACGTGTTGGTAGCGTTGCGTTTTGTCCATGTTTTGTTTTGGCGGAAGTTTGTGAACTTGTAGGGCTATTTTTACTCGACCAACTACAGCACCGGTACGGGAAGAACGTCGGCTCATACCGTGACGATGGCCTTGCAGTCATAAATACCAAATCTGGAAGACTCTGCGACAAGGAAAGAAAAACCCTCTCACACCTACTTGATGAGCTTGGACTAAAAATCACAGCGATGACAAACCATGAACGCACAAACTTCCTTGACGTAACCTTTGACCTTTGCAACGACACCTACCAACCATATAGAAAACCCAACCACGAGCCTCTCTACATTCACAGATCGTCCAATCACCCACCATCATTACTACGCCAACTACCCAAATCCATTAACAACCGAATTAACACACTCTCATCTAGCAAAGACACCTTCGAAAATGCCGCACCAATTTACAACCAAGCTCTTAAACTAAGCAACTTCCCCACCCAACTCAAATTTAATCCATCAAACATCAATGTAAGCACTACGTGCAACAGAAAACGTAACGTCACTTGGTATTACCCACCATACAGCAAAAACGTAAAAACACACATCGCCCACGACTTCCTACAACTTATCGATAAACATTTCCCACCAAATACTATACTCTCAAAGATATTCAACCGACACACAATACGCGTAAGCTACAGCTGCGGCGAAAACATGAAAACTTTCATAACCAGACACAACAAGACTATTTTAAAAAGACTTAACCCAGAAACTACCCAGAACAAGAACAACTCCCCAAAGAAATGTAACAGCAGACAGAAACACCTATGCCCGACAAATGGCAATTGCCTGAAACCGAACGTGATTTACAAAGCCAATGTGACAGCGACTGACAACAACGAAACAAAAACTTATAAAGGTTTTACTCCCATGCGCTTTTAAGACACGATATCGAAACCACACTAAATCAATTACGAACATTAAATACCGCAACGAGAAAGACTTTCTAAATACACGTGGACACTGAAAGAAAACAAACGTAACTACAACATTAAATGGGACTTCATCAAACAATTTCCACCTCCGAACAAAAACCAAAAAACCTGCCGTCTTTGCCTTGAAGAAAGACTACTTATCCTGAAAGGACGTAAAAAGAACATTTTAAATACGTTAAATACATTTTAAGAACGTTCCGATATGTTTAGTGCAT